ATATATATATTCTTGGAAATAATTTCCAAACCCATTTACTTCAGCAGATATAGACAAATTGGTTGGAATTGCTGCTCTGATGCTCGTTCTTACTGACAGTCTCTGAAATTGTAATTTTCATAATGGATTTCAAATAGTAACAGGCCTTTCTTGTCCAAAATGAGGTCTGCCTTCCCGTTCTTTTCACGAAAAAGAAAAAAAAATGGTGGAATATTTGTGCCCATCGACGGGGCGCTCCCGTTTTCCCGGGGAAGCTTTGGCGTCGGAGAGCGTGACCTGCTGCCACAATGCCACCCATTTGGGGCAGCCCAGAACACCGAACTGTCACCGTTGCAGGTGTGAACCAAAAAAAAAAATCTTCCATGTTACAGCAAAATGTGGGGCTCTGCCTCTGTGACGTGTAAAATGCACGTCGGAGGAATATGGTGTAACTTTTACTGTAATTAGCTGTTACCACTTTGAGTGTGTTTCCCCTTACTCCCTCGCCTAAACCAGACCTGGTGCAGCAGTGCATAAATCATTAGTGAATTAAAGATATATGGTAAATTAAAGTTATCACATTGGTGTGTGTGGCCCTGCAGGTTAGGATGCTGTGTCTGTCATCAGAAGGTCGCTGGTTCAAACCCCACAGTCAGAGTAATTTCACCATCGGGCCCTTGAGCAAAGCCCAAGACTGACCCTGCTTTCTCAAAACGCATGTTGCTTTAGTGTCTGCTAAATGCATTTTAAAAAGAAACCAAAATTCATTAAATTCTGTTCTCTTCTGCGAAGATCTGATGAGAAAGCAATCCAGTCTTCTCGTCCTTGTTTGCGGATTTTGTCTCTGATCATACAAGCTGGAGATGTTTATCCGTAACTTTTTCAAAGTAATGGCACCCTATTACAGTTTACTTTGTTGAAAAATGGACTTCTGAGACTCCCAGCATCGTACAGGTTGCAGGGCATTTGTTAAACTTGACCGGCTCTGTAAGTTTGAGCCTGCAGTCTGGGGCTTTTGTTTTTCTGCCTGTTGTGTGAAGGGAAGCTCTGCTTGTAGCCCGGCTTTCCTTATTGTGCCAGGCATCGCCCACAGATGTTTAAATACTCCTGTGAAGTAGACTGAGGACACATTTCCAAGGGTACTTGGCTTTTTGCGTGACTTGAGTGACGAGCGAGAGAGGCCCATCTCCGGCCTTTTCATCCGTTAGTTTTTTTTTTACCCGCATCCCAGCCCAGTCGTGGTGCCCAATGCCTGTTACATACATGTCAGGATGTGCAATTATCACTGCGTTTAATTAGAACAAGCCGATCGCTGAGCTGCCGTTTCCATTCCGCCGGGCCTGGGAACGGCAAAGGTAATCTGCAGCAGCTGGTGACGAGCTACAGGCGCGCGAGGAAGCAGCCCAGTGTGGGCACACCCCCCAACACCCCCCTCCACAGAACCGAATCCTTGTCGTGCATTTGTTTGGAACGCCGTCCTAGCCTTGAGGATGAAGTGTGAGCTAAGCATGGCCACAGTATATTGTTGCATGACTAATCTCCCTCTCCCATCTGCTGCTTAGGTCTGGACAAACAGCCCCACTCCAGCGTCATCTGGAGCCATATTGCACCAATCACAATATTTTGGCTCTTTTTTCTTCCCAATGCCAAACCGTTGCAGAATACTGACTGTTATGGCTGGTGCATCGCGGTTTTTTTTCCCCAACGTGTTTATGCACCCCGTGGACAAGAGACTAAATATTAAGGCACCCAGAGATTCTTCGTAAACCCCTCACCAAATCCATGCATTTCCTGGAGTCTTTACATATCAGATTACGTTCATGTTTGACATAAGTTGAATTCTTTAATGTGCACTCTTCATTTTTGAAGCTTTGGTCTATTTTGTGCCTAGCCCTTCGCACAAGAGTTTAAGAACTTGAATTGCCTCCCAATCACTTTTTTTTTTAAATGCTTGTTACTGCTACGTTTTAGACATTTAACTCTACTTAATAATGTACTGCGATTGTATTTGTGATTCATAGATTCTTCCCGAATTTGGCTCAGTTGCTTTCTCTCAATGCTGCACACATTTTATTTGAGGTTTCTTTTGGATTGTGTTTAGTTAACAAGGAAATTAAGGCAGTTTGTTTCTGTTTCCACTCTGGCATTTTGTAATTTTCGTCTGTGTAGTAAATGGCTATTTTTAGAGTTTGACACTGCAGGCCTACTTCTGACACATCTGGACGCACAGGCGAGTTGAGTAGCCCCGTTTACAGCCTCAGTAAAGATTATCTGTGTTTTCACATTGGGAGATTTACGCATATGTTTTTGCCGAAATGATTTTGAAAACAGCTCATGTGGAATGAAAAGACAAAGTGCCAGGACACATTCCCATGTACTGCACGTTAATAGAAATGGATTTTCACCCCGCAAACTACTTTATAAGGAAGTAGTCATCTTGGTGTTTTTAGCTAACATTGATCTGATTTTTAAGAGCTACTCTTCAAAGAGTTCTTGAAAATGCTTCCTGAGGTAGACCAAGGTTATTTATGCTTGACTAAATTACTCAGGAGTAAATTTACCCATGTACAGTGATTAGTTTCTCAGCTGCTGACTTTGAGATTTTCTTAAAAAGTGTGCTAGTTCATTTCTGGCTCGCTCAAATTGCCGAAGCAAGGTGTTGTTATAGCACTGGTTATAAAGGTTATTGTCTTTAGACTAAAACCCCAATGTTCATTGTCTCAAAAGTATTCTGGCTCCCTTCTTTACTCCCTTAGGGAAAACTGAATTTGCTGAAGCGCAATAAGTCATTTCTACAAACAGATCTACATATCACTCTGGTCATTTATTATTTATTTATTTGTCATTGTTGACACACCACAGCACACAACAACGAAATGTGTCCTCTGCATTTAACCCATATGTGACTTTCGTGACATAGCAGGGGGCAGCTAATTCAGCGCCCGGGGAGCAGTGCTTGGGGGCGGTACCTTGCTCAGGGTACCTTGCTCATGGTACCTCAGTGGTGCCTTGCTGGTCGGGGATTTGAACCTGCAATCTTCCGATTACGAGTGCGCTTCCCTAACCATTAAGCCACCAGGTAATTTACATGGGTACATCTCTGGGCCTTAAGTAAAAGTCTTTTACGATGTGGTTCCCTTTACTCTGAGCCCTGAGCCCATCCTCAGAGCTGTGAAGACGGCCCACAGCTGGAAGACATAGCCTACCTGCGCCAGAAAGTGATTGTTTTAAGGCCCTGCATGCTGTCCTGTCTAAGCGTTTCATTTTCTAGTCACATGTGTCACTGGGAAAACCACTTGTGGAAGGCTGGAGAAATGTCAGTGATCCTCAGGGGAGCGGGAGAGATGGATCTGCTCCGGTGTCACCGAAGCCACCTGGTTCCAGGCGCAGGGAATGTGCCCAGAAAACAGGAGAGGTGCTAAATCCTGGGAATAGGCACCGGCCATTTGGAAACGGTTCTCGGGCTCCATTATCAGCAGAGACCTGATCTAACGTGACACCCCGTTACAAACACAGTTAGCCTCGGAAGTGTACCTCCATCTATCTCACCCGTCACTGTAGTGAAGCTGCAGAAGGGAAGGGGAAAGGCCACCATGTTCCCCGGATGTAGAATCCGTCCAAAGGACCACACTGTACGCAGCGCATTGCTGAGCTGGAAGTCATTACCAGTGATTACCAGCGTAGTTCGTTATTCAGCCGGGAAGGAGAGAGGACCGAGCTATTTAGTGGTTGGAATGGACCCCCCCCCCCCTCATCAGTGTGCAAGTGAGTTCTGCAGTGTCAGCATTCAGCACACAAAAACGGAATTCAGTCACCCCCCCGCCACCCCCACTCTCCCGAGTTTTTTTTTTTTTCCCCAACAGCTTGCTCCCCTCCCCCCTCATGAGCTGACATTCTAGAAGAAACATATGCTGCTGGTCCCACTTTACAACAGCCTGTGCTGCATGAATAGGATCTTTCCTAAAGAGGAAGGGGGTTGGGGGGACAAGGGGAGAGAACTTCCAGTCCAGTTACAAAGTGCTGCTGGACTCTTCTGCTTACTGGCCATCTTTTGCCTTGAATGTGTGGAGGTTTGCTTCGCTGACCTGTCTGCATTCCTTAATCCACTCGAATGTTGATTCGTAAAGAAATCGGAGGGGGTCTTCATGTACAGTGATTATCTGTACATCTGTTGACTTGAGCAGAGAAGACTGTAGTGTTCTGTACTGAGATAAGGACAACGGGGGAGTTTTATTTGCGCTTGAAACCAACACAGATACAGGAAAGGATTCAGAGACGGGTTTTACTGTGGGGCTTTTGGTTTCATTGTGCTCCATAAATCTTTGTGCAACTACCCCCCCCCACAACATGAATTCATCCAGATTTAAGAGGCTGTTTGACAACCCTGACAGGCTGCAGTGGAATCGGCCATATTGACAAAGGCTTTTACAGTAATAGAGAAGAAATAGAGTTTGCGTTGGAGGTGCTGGCTCCTTGGGATTAATGATTTAAGGCCATTGCCACATTAGTTCTCAGCTTGTGCTCCCCCACCTGATTTCACCTGTCAGTCCATCTCTCCTTGTCTTCATTTCTTTGAATCCTTAGTAAGAGAGAGATTCTTACTAAGTATAAGAATGCAATTTAATCCATAGAGATGAAGAAGATGCTCACTTGTGGCTTGAGAATTTCACAAGAACAAATGATTTTTTTTTTCTCCTTGGAGTAACCAGGAACAAACACCATCTGAAGAAAAATCTAATCTTTTCTTTGAAAATGAGACCATTGTGTTTTTTTTTTTTTTTTAAGTCAAATTTTTTCGATTTAGGAGTAGCGCTGGCGAAAATAAACACAATGACCTCTGACAAGATCTACGAATGAGCTAAATCTCTTTAGGACCAACAGAATATTGCAGCTTCCTCTCTCTTGCATTGTCCCTCCGTGTTGCTGACCATGGGAAGCCAGAAGCACGGTCCGGCTCTCCAAGCAGATGCGTGCATCCTGGTGGGTGACGGCCACTTTTGTTTGTTTATTGTCGCATCCAGGTTTCTCCCCAGTCGGCTCCAGGCTGCGGCTTGGAGGACCAAACCGCCACCATTGATCCCAGCAGCTGGAGCGGCAGCGAGAGTCCTGCCGAGGACATCGAGAGGATGAGCGACTCTGCGGACAAACCTATGGACAACGATGCGGAGGGGGTCTGGAGCCCGGACATTGAGCAGAGCTTCCAGGAGGCTCTGGCCATCTACCCGCCTTGTGGACGCAGGAAGATCATCCTCTCCGACGAAGGCAAGATGTATGGTGAGTTTGGGGTGGTGGTGGTGGTGGGGGGGTGTCACTGCAGATGTCCCTGTGACCCCGTGCCCTTCCCTCCACGTGTAAATGCACATGTTTCCAAACCGGGATTTCTTGCACCTCCCTAACCTCACTAAGTGACATCAGCACAAGTAGAAGAATGGCCTTATGAGCAGCACAGCGCAGATCCCCCCCCAAGAATGTAGCGCGTTTAGGCCTGAAGAAGAGTGTAAATAAGACTGAGTGCGAAAACTTGCGCGGACAAATGTGAACCCCCCCCCAGCTCCGTGTCGCACGACGTAGAACAAAAGCTCACATCGCTATAAAAATCTCTGCATCTACTTGCAGGAGAAATGGGTAAAAACAGGCCCTGAAGAAAAGAAAAGGGAAAAAAAACAAAGTATGTGTGTTGATGCCGGTAATGTTAGTGAAATTGCTAATCAGGAATTCATGTCTAAGTCAGGGGCTCTACTGGCGGGAGACGCGCATTAATGCCTTGCTCTGGAGAAGTCGGAGTCTACAAGTAAAGCAGCATGAACTATTAGTCGGGAGCAGATGGTACAGCGGCTGCCACCAGCTGTGCCCCTCCCCCATTCCTGGCAGGGTGATGTAATGGAAACAAGGAATATTTTCTTTCTGTGGCGTTGGAGTCTCTCACAGCCTGTCAGTGTCAAATGAAAGCACAAAGAGCCCTCGGGCATTCATTTGCAGCTGTCATGTGACCCCTCTGGCCAAATGAAATGTAAGGTCTGGGAGCGGCAGCGAGGCCTCTCAGCTGCTGGTACAAAGGGATTTCAGAGTGCAGATTCCCCCCGCGGACCGCGGGCGCTGGAGGAGCGCGCCAGCTCCCTGCTCCCGAGTGAAGTACTTCAAATTGGTCCGCCCTGCGAGTTTCGAGCGATCGGCTTTGAGGACAGGGGGCCTCGCCGGTGTTCGAGAGAGAGCCTGCCATCAAATGCAAACTGTCCTGTGACCAGAAAGAGAGAACAAGAATATCAAATGTACATTAGGGGTTATTAAAGTGCACATGGTTGAAATGACTTTAAAGTCTTGTTTTTAACCCAGTATGCCTTTTTACACACTCATTTGTTTTTTGTCCTGTTATGTTTTCAGTGCATCGGGCATTTCTGGGTTTAGGGGGGAATGGCTTCCTGTTGCGACTTTTTTAATTTTAAGTATTTTAAAATTTTATTTAGCATTAATTGGTTTTTGGTATTTTGTTTCGTTCTACAAAAATTAATATTTAGTGAATAATTTCAGTAACTTATGCAGTTTGAAATACTTGAAGACCAGGGAGACAATATGTTATGCAAAATGTTTTTAGTGTGATTTTGGTTTGACTGCAAGTGTTTATTTTTTTTTTTACACAAAGCAGATGTAGAAACAATTGCTTAGTTTCTAAAGGAAGGATATCTGGAGCAAAGTTTATCAGCAGTAAGCGACAGGCGTCGGCCCTTTGTGGTTTGATTGTGCTGAGTCCTTGTCTGGCCATTAGCCATGGTCAGGGGTCAGTCTTACAAGATGCACGGGGTGTCCGATTGCAGATTTACCAAACTGTTTTTGTAAATCTCAGTATGACAGAAAGGAACATTTCAGAGAAACCCAAATTCATCACAGTTTTGTCCAGTATATATTAAACTTTGCCATGTATGCTGGTAAAATGTATATATATATATTTTTATAAATCTCATTATCTTGTAGCAGCTAATAATGTCTGAAATTAGTATTTTTTCTTTGTGAATGTAAACTGTTAATTTGTAATCAGTGAGCAAACTCCGGTGCTGTTCAGCATATTTGACGCTCAGTAAGCGGCGCCGTAGGACTTACGTGAGGCGAATCGCTGGGTTTTCTTTGTGATTTGTTTATAAAACTAAAGGCTGCTCTGGAGCCAAGCATAGGATGTAACCAAGCGGCCTCTGTAGGAGCTGCTGGCTGTGGCATGGAAAGAGAGGGATCAAGTGTGTGTGACTCTCGACAGAAAGAGAAGGTTTGAAAGGGACTTCGAGGGGAAGTATTTGGGCGGCCCAGCCTCTCTCCCCCCCCCCACCCCCCTTTTTGAAACAAGGTTCCCCGGCTGGCGGGAGAGGCGAGCCGGGCAAATTGGAGCGGCGTCCGGCCCACTCCGAGTGTAGGCTGGGCCTGTTGTCGGGCATGCCAGCTGTCACTGGGTCCTAGTGCCAAACCCGTTCCACCATGAGCTGTAACTCAAACATCCACCAGGGCTGGCTGGAATTGCTTGAATTATTCAAGGCATTTTTTTATCGGCCACTTCCCATCTGTGCAAGATTTAGCTTTGTGCCTTTAAATCGCCAACAGACTTTTTTCTTTTTTTTCTTCTTTTCCCCCTTGCGTTATATAAGCCTTATGTAGCATGTGCTTAAATTAGTTTGTGGAAGGGGACCGGTGTCTTGCAGCCCACCTCGGCTGCTAGCTCCCATTTACTATACATTTACGTACTGCGGATGTACACTACTGCAGGGTAAATGCTTACCTTAGTGTGCCTTTCGATTGCATTTATGAAGATGCTGTTCTTCTGGTATACATTTAATGACATAATATGATGACTTAATTCTGTCCATAATTGTCTGTTAATTTTCAAATGCTCTTTTAAATTGAGTGTTTAAAAAATCAGTTTAAGCAGTTTTAAATATACCCAACTAATCAGTGCATTGCACTCACGATTGAGGGCATTTCCAAGAATACCGCAGTTCTCTCTTTTGCACGGTCAATGGGCCTTACTTTCATTTAATAGCTCCGGTTTTTCCTGTTTATAATTATGCAACGCTGATTATTGATTATGTCTGGGTGTCCACCATTTAATTGTGATTGAGCAATTTTATATATGGAGGGTTACTGCCCTGCCTGAGAATATCCGACATAAGGAGACATGGATGGGGATCGTTTAAAAAGATTTCTTTAATTTTGGTCTCGAATATTTATTGAGAAAAGTGTGGTTTTTTTTATGAAATGTAAATATCTGTCGGAGTGACCCATGTTTTATTCGTACATGCTGTAAACTGGGCAAGTAATGACACCGGCCTCGAGTATTTTTCATTCAAAAAGTTACATTTGTCTTTTTTTTTTCAAATTCTGAATGTCATGTATACATTGTTCTATAAAATATACTGGGTGTGACTGCTGTCCATAAACCCGAATTACAGGTCATCTCCATTAAATATACTTTCCTGGTCCCGATGCAGTGGTGATCTTTTAACAGATTCTAACCAAAAGTGGGAGCATTTTGATATAGGCTACATTTAAGCTTAAAGTTTATAATGTAAGTATGTGCATGTGTGAGCAAGCCTGCCTGCAGAAGTATGGATCTGAGCATGTGTACACAGCTTCTCAGCCTCTCACGTCTGCATTACCGGCTCCCAGAGGTATTGCCCACCTGTTGCATCTCAATCTCACGCAAAGCATTTTGTTTGCAGCCTATGTGCAACGTCACATTTAAATCAGCCGGAATATTATAGTATAATACACACGCTCTCGCTGGCTGGACGTCTCGACAAAGCGGGTAAGAAATTTAGAACCGGACTAACAGTGTAGGTATAAAAGTGTCGCGGTTGGTATTTGAAGAGGTGCGACTGATAACTGGGGGGCAAGACCCCCGCGTGCACGCCGGTTTGGTCCCCTGCAGGACGCGTCGTGGACACGCGCTTCTTATGGGGGACGCGCAGGTATTTCAGCACCGAAGGAGCCAGAAACACACGGGACGCTGTGCATAGCTCGCGACGAAAGATGGCGTCCTGAGTGCCCTTAAAGCCCTTTGTTCCCATGGCTGAATGCAGTTAATTAGCAACAGTCTCTATAGCAACTGCCTCTCGGTTCAAAACAATTTCTAATTTTTGCAGCTTAGCTTATCATACTGTTTACCTGAAGAGCTTTTTGGTGCTTTGAGTCTCATTGGAGCTGGCTCCATGCCTAGTCTTAGAGGTTCATTGTGAGGGAGATGAAAAACAACACGACGAAGACATTGTAAATAGCACCCGGCCGCGATGCTCTCTGAAGAGGAGGAAGGGAGCGCCGGGAGCATGTGACAGCGTCCTGGTAAAAAGCACAAGACTGATTACTTACATAAATCACCTGCCGCACTGCTGTCCTTTATCTACCTCTGTGTAATTAAATTCCCTCCAGACTATGTATGCTTGCACACGTGACCGTGGCCCTTTCATACTGGCCAGTGCGCTGGTGATATGTGTCAGAATGAACGGCTCCCAGAGATTTGATAGCCGAATTGATACGGTTCCTGCTCTATGGGGGCACCCTGTTGTGTGTGCCAATTTTTTATTTTTTCAGCTTTGATGACTTTTCATCTAAAATTGGTTATTTTTTGCACCGTCTGTTAAAGAGTAAAATGTTTCATGTATTTTTATTTACAGAATACTCCGCCTCGGGGTATCTGAGAGATTTGTAACTGAATCTACACTCAATGCTGGCATACACCTTTAAATATAGAAATGTTTTTCAAACAGATTTTGAACAAATGATGCTGATGGATTTTTTGAGGTTTTTTGCGGAATTACTTGGTTTTTAGCCGCCTGTATAATGAACTACAATGGTACATGGGGCTTGAAAGGTCTGCTGGGTTCATTAGGGATCAGCCAGATCACCGCGGACGCCATGGAGGTGTCTGTCTGTGTGGTACAGTACGATACAGAAGCGAGGGCTCCTTTAGCCACACTGCTGGTGCCCGAACTCCCACTACCGAGAGCGTTGGGAGTGTAATTATGGGCGGAGCCAGCCTGTGGTCGCCTGTGAGCCATGTGCCCATGGGGGGCATGGCATACAGTGACAAGCAAGTGTAAACTGCTGCACGCCCTGTGTTTATTGCGGGATTAGTAACAGACGTGTGCCCTCGCAGCAGATTGGAAGCGGTTATTTGTCTCGCCATTTGCCATTGGCTGGCTCGCCGTTTTGACCGAAGGGCTGTTCCATGCTGCAGATGTGCGGGGGGGGGGGGGGGGGGGGGGGAGGGCTGGGGATTGAGCCACTTGGTTTGCAGG